GTATTTGTATAATTCCCTTGTTTGATTTCTATTATTATTGCATGATCAGTGTAAACTTGCACAAACTTCCCATGCATATTTGGGTCCTTTTAATTATAAACAAGTTGTCAAGGGTGAACAATGTGTCTATCAAAATGTAATTTCACACTCAAAACAAAAAATAACTGAAGAGAGCATGCAACCAATTATGTCAACTCTTTGTAGCAAATTTTAATATTTTTTTTCAATGCCTGTCAAATGGCACTATACAATTACATATTAAATTTTAAAAAATATGAAAAATGAAACTCTTCCTTGAATTCCATATTCCTTCTACTTGTTAAAGCATAATTTTCAACGGCAATACTATATGTTGGTTCTCTTGAGTAATTTCTAACTTTCCCTTGCTTTTCAAGGACATGACAATTGGCAATTTCGCATCATTGTAAACAACTTACTGTAAAAGGGGGTAATTATTCACTGGGTTTTAATTTAGCTTATTTCGCTGACTGGAAAATGCGCTAAATTAAAACCCAGTGAATATGTAAAATTTAGTATAGAACACATTATCTAAATGACGAAACCGTGAATTTAAAACCCACTGAATATGCCTGAAATGGTAAATCAGTGAAATTTAAACCCAGTGAAAATTAGTCATTTTACAGTATGTACATTCCTGCAAATAAATTGAAGCAATGAACACATACGATCCAGACATTTTAGCATAGGTCTTTCAAATTTGAATGCATTTGTATCCAAAATTTTAAATGTCATGTCTAAGTATTCCTTGACAGCATGGTGTTAAGTTCAACACATATTATAATGTTGCAAGTTATTATATTATATCAGTGTTAATCATGTATTCTATGTGTGATGTTGTGTACCTTTATCTTTTTATTGAAAGTTAATGGTGATGCATGTAGCAGTGACCCATGTCCACCAAGTCAAATTTGTTATGTGAGTTCTGATGGACAGCAATACATTTGTGCTTGAAGTAAGTTAAATTACGAATGCTAATGTTATCTATAATTATTATATAATTCATGAGCTTGTACTTGTGAACCCTATCCTTATCTAAGGATCGTGCAGACAATGTGTGTTTGGAAGCTATCATGTACCAAGAAAAATGCATTGTGTTTGCCTTCTTGGTACTGGGACATTTGAAATATATTTTAGAATATGTATAATAAACTTCAGTCAAATGTTGTGTTTTACCTCACAACCAGAATGTTACATCACTTCCTCCGTAACATAATTGGGCTACTTTGGGTTGATATGTCTGCTTTAGGTGGTTTATGGTACCTAGCCTTTTTAACGAACAATAACTGCAAAACTCCCCAATGCCCAGATACGAAACAAACTGCATTTTGCTTGGTACATAATAGGCCTACAAAAAACAATGCTCTGCATAATTCCCTGGAAAAGTTAGGGTTCACATATAGCATCTTATAGTCACTATATACATACATATTATGGATGCACACAGGGGTGCACGTTTCTTACAGGTTATCATGTTTGCAACCCTGGAACTTTGAATATAGATGTAGCAATAAAGATATGAATACCATTACATGGAATTGGTGTTGTTATTTGTAATAGACTACTAACTATGACAATTATACTCTCATCACAGATTCCAAACTATCCGGATACGGTACTTGGTGGAGTGAAAACTGGTGGCAGCTAATTGGCTTGACTTAGTATTGACCAATCTTGCTTTCATGCATCAAGTTGGTTTATGGTTGCAAAATGGTTTATGGTTTTAATTCACTAATATACAGTGTTCAAGTAGTATCATTAGTTAGAAGTTTAATAACGAATAGGAAACCACTGCTGTCGATTTACAGTTATTTTTTTTACATTTTACATACGGTAAATTTAAAGATGCAAATGGATCAGAGTAGTCCCCGTTCAGATGCAGTCTGAAAATAATATGTAAATTATTTAGTCTTCGTATGTTTATCCTGTTTTTCATTTTCGTTCATATTGCCTTTTTATATACTGGTAGATGTTTGAGAACAGGGTGTTCGTGCTGTGATAGTGTATGCATTGTTTTATAGGCTAAATTTACTTACCCAAGAGTTGGATAAAGAACTAATGTCATCCCTGATAAAAACTTAACAATTATAAATAACAAGTGAAGTCCGATTTGGAATCAAGAATTCAACGCATCGATACAGTTAGAGAGCAATTCCCTTCACATGTTGGGTAAAAATAGTATAACACCAAAGTCATTAGAATTCATTTAGGAAAGCAACAGGGGAGAAATCTTTAAATGTTACTTAAACAATCTGGTTAGATAAAATTTAAAGAGGCGATTCAGTACAAATCAAATCCAGTGAATATACCTTCTTTTCTGTATTTTACATTCAAGTTATCAAGAATCAGTGAAATTAAATTCCATACAAAACAATTCCAGCTAAAATGAAGTTGTTTACAGTAGGTGAAAAGGCTAGTGCATATGCCAATCATCTTTTGTCAAATGGATTTGCTGAAAGCAAAATTCATATTGTGACTTGTTTACTATTACAATTCTGTAGGCTAGAAGATCGCGATTAGTTTTTAATTATCTGTCTTTGTTTTCTAGCAACGACCAAACTACAGACATGCTACATACAATCTGTTGAATATAGCATGTCTGAATTAAGTTGACAATTCAGTCTGTTCAGCGGTGACCTATACATAACAAATTTGTGCAAATTTGCGACAATTTATACAAAACAAAACTGACTAACGAAACTCTGAACAATTTCGAAACGCCGGACGAGTGCGAAACACCCAAACGAATTTCGATTACTAAGCTCAAGCCTGTAACACATGGAATTTCAAAAGTTTCGATGTCTTGATGAAAGGTACAGAGATACCATATGAGGTTACTAAGAAAGGGTTCCCGAACAGTGCCAAACAATTAATGAATACTAAAGGATAAAAAATTACCTGTCCTAAAAATTGCCAAAAAACTTTTTTATATACCCAAAATTATAGTATTATTGCACAAGTTAAGAAACTATGTAACCACAGTAGATACCATAAACTATGTTTTTCTATGACCGAATAAAGTCTGATTTGATTTACCTCCAATTCATGTGTATGTCTGGACTCCTTCATTGTTGTCTTTACACATTCCTCTGGCATTCTAAGAGGTCTGAATTATGGAAAAATTAGTAATCTAATCTATAGATAACACTTAGTCATCAGTGTTGTATTGTGTGTGATTTCCCTGAGCAATGATACATGATGTTACTGGAGCACGATTCAGTGACATGCGCAGACCAAGTTAAGATAATGTCTTATAAAAACAGTATGAATAGTGATATGGAAAAAGTGGTCCCCTAGAACTGTGACATCAGTGAGTACTGGTTGACGGATCAATAAATATTCTCAAGAGGAGTAAAATAATACACTAATGGTAAGGTGTGATATGAAATACAAACTGCACAGATTGTGTAACACGGTGATAAAACCATTATTATAAAATCTTCCTGTATTGTGATGTGGGATTTTCGAGATCCTTTTTTACATTTGCTTTGTCTCATCATCCTGTTTTTGGCTGAGTCGATGCTGATCCACGATCTCCGATGCTCTTACCTTAGGTCTGTCTCGCCTCTATCTGCATTGACTATGCATGTTTATTTCAATATGGTGAGTCCTTCATGTTGTATTACCGTTTTACATATATATAACTTATATTGTTTTTGTATTTATCTTACAGTCAGTGATTTGATAAATGGTTTGATAAATTGACCCGAAACGTAACTAATAAAATATTTCCAATAAACTGACGTTAGAGTGAAGTTTGTATTAGCTTATAAAACAGAAAACATTTCTGTTGAACAGTGCTATATTACTCTGCGGTGAATAAAAACACTCTGGATTATTGTCCATATTTAAACAATAGAGAGCAGGTTTTCTTCAGAGGTAGTATATTAAAAAAAATAATAAATAATTTGGTCAGACGACATATCCCATCTAAAGACAGAAACTGTCAAATTCAACAGAGGACGCGGGATTGTAATGCAGAAATGTTTACCACTACGCATTCAGTGATGTAGCGTGACGCTCCCATTTATGGTTTGTATAATATTATTTGGACGTGCGTTCATTGGATGGGATATGAACCAAACTTTTCATTACAACTACTGTGTGGGTACAGCGCCCACTCTTGGTGAAATATGATAATTACTACTTAACAGGAATTACACTTCTCTGCCAGTGTTTTTAATTCCCAATTTATTATTTTATTTCCATAAGACACTAATTGTCAGACCTTGGCCTGATGTTACGTATCATTGGCAGCGACGATAAACTAGTACATACTGAACTATCGCACTACCAACCAACACTGACGACTCTTTAAATTATGAGGAAAAACATTAATTTGGTGAAGCATACTTGCACGAAAATAGAAATAATACAACTATATAAGGCGTGGGGCTTTCAACTTGAACATTTAATAACGTAATGAATAAAAGTTCTCTTTAATGGTGAGTGTAAGTGTAATGTAAATGGTAGCATATAAATAAAACGCGACTACACGCAATGTCGGTGGATGTAATACCCGGATGTAATTATTGTGCCAAATATAGATTGCTCTATATACAGACTATCCAGTGACCTGTCACAACTTGTCATGTCATTATACCAGCATTTCTCATTGAACGCGTGACTATGTATATAACTTACAATATTTACATATCAGTATATATTTCGTATCATATCAAGGTACTTTAATTCGAATACGATAGTTACATTTCAATACATTCCATTTCCAACCATAATTGACACAGAATATAATTACCTTAATATAATATACCTAAACCACAATTGACACAAACAACAGTTACAAAACAGCGTACACCAAATGCCACAATTACGATATACGTTTAAGTATTTACATTAATATAATCTTCCACCACGACTGTAAAAACACGATATTCATGGCGCATATCAACCATAATTAACAAATAAAATTCTACCATAGTATACCTCAAACTTAATCATAAATAATTAGTATCCCCGTGCACAGCATTCGAAAAATTGAAATATGCTGTCCTCAAACTTTTGTGTTTCTTTTGAAAAACTTTTTACATTATATCTCAATATTTCGTTTGGTTACCTACAGTATCATATATATAGTTATAAAATGGGCACTTGTTACGAGTTATTAGAAAATTTTGATAAATACTACTGTTTGATAAAATACTTTTTCAAAGCGGGGGAGTCGTCACATGCGCATGCGTCAGATGGCGTATCATTGTTTACAAACAAGCGTCTACCCATGAGCCTTTGCGTTTTAGCGTGTGTTGTTATCATCGCATGGGACTCAATTCCCGCGCGTGCGCATGTGACGGCCCTCCCGCTTTAACATAGATAATGTAAATGGTGATAAACGTAAATGGTGACGATTGTCGTCGCGTAGTGTGCGTACGAATTTCGTATAAACAGTGTACATTACACGAGTTGTGGCTATGTGTTCCATATCTAGCACGACGCAGCGCGAAGACCACCGCCCTTTAAACAAAGTTGAAAAAGACATCAATTACACCATATCTTAACTCAGTCAGTGTAACGTCGCAATGTAAATCAACTACAATATAAAATTCCATACAACAAAGACTACATTATTACCTCCCGAATCATACTAACTAAACATAATAAATAAATGAATAATTCAATGAATTTAATATTTTGGGGTCATGAATTTGAATATCCGTTTCACATCGACTTCGTAGAGAGTCCTGTCGCATTTGCGTAAATGATCGCTTGTCGGTGAATACCTATTCAGTTTATCTTCACGCGGTCAAATATGTTTAAATTTAATTTACGCTTTCGGGGATATTTACTAATTATTATAACTCTGTCACAGCGTGCCGTAATTTTGCGGTATTTTACGGGTTATTTTCAGCCTACCATATACAAAAAAAATGGATTTCGGCATTCCCATGATGTAATAACCTCATATTATTACTAATTTTTGAGTAAATTTGATTAATGGCCTTCAAACAGTCCTTGGAAGCTAGACATTGGTGAAATAAACTTGCAGTGCAAGACAAGTTCAAGTTCGTGGAGTTGTAAATAGTGATTTGTGTATATGAGGATTTATAAGACACATTTTAACTGACATCTGTAACTACCAGAAATATTCCAATATCTATAATTCGTGAAAATAAATCAGGAAATCTAGTGTAAAACAATCAACAAATTAAGATATTGTATGTATTTTGAAGATTGTTAGTAAGATGTCATGGACCAATCAAGTTACTAGGATTTGCATTGCAAATTATGGCGATATCGACAATTATTTACATTGTTTTATCCCACGTTTTTATGATATATGGGATAAATACAATACCACTATACCTAAACGATAATTTAAAACAAATACATCACATCACACGACATGACGACATGCACGTCACGTCTCACTATGCCACGCCATGACACATTACGTCATGCCGTGTCTCACATCATGACGTCACGCCATTCACATCACGTCACATCTCCATCCTTTTCGTTCAATGTATTCATCGGTCGTCTCTTCACATTTTTGGATTGGTTCTGTAGTTGTTTCGTTCTCTGCAGTCTGATTTTCAGTTAACTCTGCGCTATCTGATTCCCCTGGTATATTTTCATCTTCTCCGTTTGCCAACTTTTCAACTTTCTTCACATCCAACGTTTCGTTGTCACGTGACTCCGCGCCATCTTTCGCATTGTCTGCCCCCTCAGTATTCAATTTCTGACTCTCGCTAGCAGCATCTTGTAACTGTTTTATCTTCTCAAGTTCCTCATCAGAATTCTTTACAATGACACTTGCATCACTTGGTTCTTTATCTATTTGTTTACCATTCTCCTCAATCACCCTCGCGAGGGCGCATATTTTAGTGACTTTTCTTTTACAGCGAAGGACTGCTGATTTGAAACCGTTCATTACATATCGGAAGCAACCTTCTTTCGGTGGTCGGATCTCAAACTTCTGAATTACAGCCGCCAACATAATTACCATCGTTGTCCTGGCAACTATCTCGCCAACACATTTACGTGGTCCTGTTGACAAAATGTGAGTATTGCGTATAAACAATCTTTAAAGTGGTGAAAAAAAAAATCAAATAATTGTTGTCCGTTTCAAGTTTCATAAACTTTTCCGCCTTTTCGTAATGTTGTGATCAAAATATATGAAACATTTGATCTGTGAACTATTTATAATTAATTATTTTTTGTTTAACAACATTGTAAAGTATTATTGGTCGCAGTTTTATCTGCACCGTTAAGCTACACGCCCGATTGGCTTTTAGGCGAAATATAGAAGTTATCGGAAATGCAGAAAATGTTTTAGTAATGAAATGTAAATATATAAGTGCTAAAGTTGAACTTTAACCTCATTAACGATCTTTATTTGGGAGCATTGTGAGCATTGTGTGAAATAATTTA